AACAGTTAGAACTGACATATGGCAGAGGATTTGACTTCAATGCACCTGGAGCCTCAGTATACCCTTATTGTAATATATTAACATGCTAAATGACACAACCACCAGCTCCATGACAGCTGACGATTGCCATGACAACAACTGGGAAAGCCATACAAGGACTGAAGAACTCGAACAAAGGCTGACTGCTCCATCACACCGGGGAGGGGGACATGATGGCAGAAACCTCCCATGAAAGTCCACGTGGCCTGACCTGGACCGGAGCTGTCCCTACCAGTGATTTTGGCTGATGGCCCCCTTCTTGAGCACCTTTTCCTCCCTCGGTTGCTTTTCTTTCCTCTCCCTGCTGAGCACTTTCCTTCCTTTTTCTCTTTTGAGAAAAAAAGCAATTTTTGCTCTCTTCTTCTGCCTCAGCTGTGAATTCTTTCCATCCAAGAGGCTTTGGTGGGCCTCCTAATTTCGGGGTCTCACTAATGACTAACAATAGGAACTTTTTTGGCCTGATTAATTTCTCTGATAAATCAGATGAGATTTGCCTCCATGCATGTTTTGCCCTTATCAGCACCTACTGTCTGCTTGGGTGTTGGGACAATATTTCTGTCATTTTGAGCTTTAATTTATTCTGTGAATCCCACAGCAGGAATAATCATTCAAACACCTGGTCTGTTAAAGAATGGATGAAGACATTCTTCAAATTTCAAACCATCAAAAGACAGATTTATCTTCCTATGAGCCATTTCTCTGGGAACGTGTTGAGTGGTAAATTCCTCGCCAACTTCATTTGCATACGGAGGCTGCTCATTCTGAACGGTAACCCATGGGATAAACCTGGAGAGGTCACTTCCCTCTGAGACAGGAAGAGGGCAGAGCACAGCCATTCAAGTAATGCAATAGCAATTAACATCAAAATGGTGAAAGATTCAACCCTCAGTAGGCCTTGAGGCTCAAGATGATGGGAGATTTAACTTCTAGCAGATCTTGAGTTTCATTATATGCCCATTGCAGTATATTAGCATAGTGAGTAACATGCTCACAGCCGCTGTGGCAGTCCCAAGGCTAGCCACAAGAGGTCAGAGTGGGAAATGGTTAACTTCCTGGGAATCCCAGCCCCTTCTGCAAGCTACTTAGACTGGTCCTTCCACTTATTAGCATATGAAGCCACCAAGCCCATAAAAACTGGCAACACAGCGCCTCGTGGCAACCGCTCTCTCCCTCCCTCCCTCCATTCGTTTGGAGATGGCCCGCACCCTGTGTGTGGAGTGTGTACCTACTTTTACTCTAATCTGAGCACCCAACCCCCACAACTCATGGCCTTTCTCTTGCCTTTCAACGTATCTCTCTGAATAAATCTACCTTTACTCAACTGTGCCTCGCTCTTGAATTCTTTCCTGCGTGAAGCCAAGGATCCACACTTGGTGGGGCATGTCCCAGGGGCTCAACTGAAGCCTGATACATGGCCCACCTAACGCCCCACATCTGTATTCCTGCATCACCTCTACTCTGGGAGCAGTGGTAATCTGAGTTAGGCTCTTCGAGGTTGCAAGGAAACGAAATGCTGAGATCATTTTAAAGGCTGTGGTTTATTAAGGATTACAAGAAAATAAGAAATTGCACAGCTGTCCTAGAGCCAGATGACTTGTCATGTATACCGCTATAGGTTGGGTGTCTCTGAGTTATCATCTTCATAGCTTAGTTTATCTCTGTTTCTATGGCTTCCACCAATGTGACAGCTGCTTCTTTTCACCTCTTTCGACTGCTTTTTCTTCTTCCTACACCTTAGCTTTGACTTGCTTCCTCTCAGTTTCCCCACCTCCCTCAGGTGGGTCTTTGTGTGTTTCATACTTAAACATCCCAAGAAAAAAATATCTGGTTGGTTCAATGTACTGCTGTCTACCAAAAAGCCCCCAGGTCCTGCTGAATTGCCATCAAGGATACTACAAGCCTCTGTGGCTGCCTTGGCTGAAGCAAGGATTCCTCGTGCTCTTAATGGTGACCAGGGGGCCAGGATCATCTGTAACTTTAGTGTAAGGAATGCTTTGTGGCTGTTTTGTTCCCTGATGAGCCCATATTCAGAGTTTCGTAAGTAGTCCATTCCATTTGTCAAAGGCTATGCTGTAGTTAGTAGCTTCCTTAAAGTCTTTCTGGATCAAGGCAAAGTAAAAAATAATAACAATATTAAAATAAAATAAAGTGTATAGTTAATCACTCCCTTTTTATTACCATTCTGAGAAAGGAAATCTTGGACTGGATGAAAGTGATCATCTCCCCTTTACTTTAAAAGTTGGCTTAGGCTCCCCCAGTGCCTATTAGTGCCTGACCATGACTGAGCTGGTTAGGTTATGGGGCTGAGAAAGGTGAAATGGAGTGAGATAGTGCGTTTAAATTCTATTAGTGATGCCTTAGATCACTAGCGATTGATGAAAGCTCTGTTGTATTAGGTGACTTGAGAGAGAAATTTCCCTTCAGCTTTTGTGAATGGATTGTCCATAAACTAAAACTGTGTTTATCAGTCCCTCTTTTAGTAAAATTAGAAGTTACTGCCGTAGTTTCTCTGATAGATACGCTAAATTGGCACACTTGTGCGGCCCTGCATTGCAGAGGTCAGAGAGCCAAAACTGTACTTCCCAGGTTCCCTTGCAGTTATGATTCAGGATATAAATAAGTCTCCACCAATTAGAAACCTTCATGTGAGGGTTGGACGGCCGATAGGGAGGCAAAGTCTATTTTCATGCTGCTTTGGTAGTTCTGCCAGCCAGCAGACCAGGAGAGGGTGCAGTGCTGGCATTACTATTCCAGCAGGGACTCTATCAGAGGGGCAGCTGTGGCGATGGCGACAGCTTCCTCATCCTGGCTTCTTGCTCTCTACATCACAGCTGCGGTGGTGGGTTCTTGATCTCAGGCTGTCCAGTGGTGATTCCTGATTCCCACCTTTCTGATCATATAAGGTGGGTCAGTTCTGTGACATCTGGGATTTACTCTTGGAGGCCCCATGGATTGCTTCTCCATCCATGGTGGATTTTGGAAGTATCTGACTCCTTGTATAAAAGCACTTTCTGTTTATAATACCTGGAGTGGTTTCTGTTTCCCACGTGGGATGCTGATGGAGACAATTTCTGTTTTTATGAGTGTTAGGAAGCTAAAAACAGTCATGGCCTGGCTTGTGAGCTGACATAGGGGATGAAATTCAGAAGTCATTCAGGATCTTTCCAAATCTAATTTTCATGCTTGATTTTTTAAAAAATTTGATTTTTAACAATTAATTCTTTGTGACTGGCCCAGAACTGAGAGTCAAAAGATTTGCGATTAACCTGAATGAGGAAGATTAAAGAAGCCCCAATATCTAGGAATGTGAGAGACTTCCCTGCCCTTTCTTAAGTTTACAATTTGAGATACATTGCTTCTCTCTAGGACATGCAGAACACAAACAATTCTTTTCATAGTCTTACTGATTAAAAAGTTTGAATATGTTACCTGGTGAAGATTTTCTGTTATTAAAATTGCTTACAGTCTGCTAATAACTGGTCTTTCTAACTTTGTTGTAATGCACCATAGTACATCCCTCTCCTCCCCTCCTCTTTGAAAAAAGATAAATTCTTTATTCTTTTTGAATTATGGATTTATCAGATTGCTTTTTTAAAAAAAACATTTAGCCAGTTTCCCATGATAAATTGCAAGCCTGGATTTCTCAGGCCGATATTCTACACAAGGAGCAAGCTTTTGACAATGTTCTTACACAGTAGTAAACCTTTCTGCATATCTTATGCAGAAATTGTTCAAGAATAAGATAGGATTGTTCACAGCTTTTACAGCCGTTTACTTAGCTTTTGGCTCTATGAATAGGAAACAGTTGTAGGTTAAACTGTACAATATTGAACTCAGTCCTGATTCTTACATAGAATTTGCATCTTAACACTAGTGCAAAGATCTGGGTTTGGAAGAATTAATTGAATAATTATTTTAGGATGAATACAATATGGATTTTTGACTACCCTCTTAGTTTTCACTTGTTTCTTAATATTCAATATTACTTATGGACGAGCCAATTGAATCCCTCCCTACTTCCACTGAGAGTAAAAGTAATAAGCATTATCTGCTAATAATATCAAACTCTAGACATGATTTTAATGGTTCTATTTTCTAATATTACATAAAAGATTAGCTTAAATTCAGCCACCATGGTAGTTAGCAATTGCTGTACCATTTAGCGAAAAAGAAACCACTCCAAAACTTAGTGGCTTAAAACAATAGGTACTTTTTATTTCTCACAAGCCTAGGACTGACTGGACACTTTGGCCCATCTGGACCAGGCTTTGCTGTATTAAGCGGGGAACTGTCTATGTATCCGCCTGCAGTCAGCTGGTGGGTGGGCTGGGAGTTAGTAGGTTAGGAGGCCTCCACTGGGACCCTTCTCATCCTCCAGCAGATCACCTGGGCTGGTGCTCACGGAAATAAGGGTTCCAAGAAAGCACACAGAAATGTGCAGGTACCTTGTCAAATTTACTACTGTCCAGTTGGCCAAAGTAGGTCACATGGCCAAGCCCAGAGTCAGTGAGGGAAGGCAGTATCAAAGAGTGTAGACACAGGAAGCTTGAAAGTTGAGGGCAAGAGTGCCGTCAATCTATCACAGCCACTCAACCCCAATCATCCTTTTTGCAAGAGTTTTCCAATATTGACTTGCTTTTGCATTCAACAATTCCACTCAGAAAATTATCTTAGGAAAATATGGGAACCAATATACGTTGTAGGATTCCGTAGAAAGCAAAATTACTTAAATTAAAATTTTTGTTGGTATGTTACTGAGATTTGTTTTTTCCTTGAGCCACTAGTGAATGACTGTTATTATCTGCATTGAAAAGATTCAGGCTAAAAATTGGCGTGGTCGTTCTTTTTGTTGCAGAATTTGGGTGTCTTACTTTTCTGTTTATTTATGTTCTGAGATAAATGCAGAACATTTGGGAGGACATGATATTGGTACTTTCTAAAGGTATTTAGGGTTTGCCTTGATTAGTTCCTCAATTTTCTCTGCCTTATTCTCCTACACAGAATATCTGCATCCTGGGTTCTAGTTTGAGCATATAAATTTTAACCCTCTTTTATCCAGTTCTTATCAAAATCCCAATTGCAAAAATCAAAGTTTGAGGGAAATTCCCTAAATGCCACGCAAGTTCATTTAGATAATACATTTTGCCCTCGGATCAAGCTAGACCATCAGTGTTCCCGTTCTTTGGAAAACTGAGTTTGACAAAATGCATTTTGGTATCCTATCATCATCTTACAATAAGAGATAGTAAAGGAACAGCCAAATGTATGGGCTCTTATGTTTACTCTAGGCCTGTTTTTATGGATGTCAAATATTTCATTACATGGTGTCCTTTTAATATGACCTGTGGGGAAAACTTATCATTCAACCATTGTTTATTTTATGATCTCTATGAATCTTACAACTTTTTTTTGTTTCTCTCTTAAATTACTAGAAACTTTAAGCCAATGGGTAGCCCAGATCTACCAAGTGTCTAGGATTATGGTGTGCCATTTCTGTCTCCTACTCACTAGTTGGTTTTTATTCTTTTCTTGCTTGGTCTTTCTTATTTTGCCCAGACCATCTCAACTTAAAAAAATCTTTATTGATTTTACTTTTTTATTTGCCACGTCAAATCCTTTGTGGAATGAGGTGGGGTATAACTATATTTTTTTAAAAGTGCTAGTTTACAGATTTACAGATAGTTTGAAGATGATTAAAGGAGTTAGAGGCCTTACTTCAGAAAGACTTATTTCCTTTCTTTCCTTCCTTCCTTCTTTCCTTCCTCTCTCCCTCTTTCTTTCTTTCTTTCCCGTTCTTTTTTCTCCCTTTCTTTCTTTCTTTTCTAGTTGAGGAAGAGGATTTACATTTTTTTGCTAGAAACACAACCACACTATAAGTAGCATAAAACCAAAGTATGAAACAAGCTTGAGACCTTCTTACATTACTGTGACTTGATCCCATTAAAAACAGTAAGTGGTACACACACTAATTGATTCATGTAAGATGGTCCCCAGTCTCTTTTACTTACTTAGTCCATGAGCTAGTTCTTATTTTCGTGGTTGGATTAGCAAGGATGCTTGATGGTTCAAATGTTTATCAGCCATCGTCATTCTCACTTGTCCTATTCTTAATGTTTTGGCTATTTTTATTACAAATAAAATACTAGGATTTGCATTCGGGTCAGTCATTAGTCTTAGGGGAATAAAATTAAGAAAGGATTTATGTGTCTATTTATGTCATGGTTGGCTAGAGCAGTTATGTCTTCCCTTTGCCGTCTGACCGAGCTGTTTTCTGTTCCTTGACAGATACTCTTCTGACTCTCTTCCCAGCTGCACTGCTGAGGTGCAAGTTAAATCACATCAGGAAACCTGATGAAGAAGGAGGGTAAGGGCTACCAAAAATCCCTTTCAAAAGATCTTTTTATCCTCCCTACATGGATTTTTGACAACTTAGGGAAATAGTCTAGTAACAGTTAGAAATTAACTTCCTGAGATGAATAAAAAAATTTTTTTAGAAAGAAGAGATACGAGGCAATATGTTTAGAAAATGTAAAAATACACAGTCACCTATCTCAAGATGACTCTCAAACTCTGCAAAAAATTGCAAAGGAAAAAGGATAAAAAACTAACAAAGAAGAGACCTGTCTCCAAGCGCATGCGCTTCCTCCTCCTTTGAGCTATGGAAGGACTCTTCCGCCCGTACCTGGGGCCTTTGGACCAAGAATCATAAAATAATGCCGCTCAGTCCCATAAGCTTTGTTGTCTGGTCTCTCAGAGCAAATGAGGACAGCTGTGGGAAAGCACAAGATAGGAAAAGTCAGACCTACTGATAAAAGCAAGAAGCAACAGAAAATAGCCAGACAGACATACTTAAGGAGACTTGGAAACTAGAGAAACATAGTTGGGGCTATCTGGGGAAGCCACTGTATGTATTGCATTTAGAGTGATTGCTGGCTATAAAGAAACAAAATTAGTAATGGTTCTTGAGTCTTGTTTAGACAGTCATTGAATATATGAGATGCACTTAAATTCTACCAAAAATGATGGCAAATTTTGAAACATCTTTTGGTTTTTGATGGGGGAGCTTCACTTGATGGGGGAGCAAAGGTATTTTCCTTGCCAATTCCTTCCCTTTTTCCTTGGAAAATTCATGTATAAAGGCAACCTCATTCTTCAGATATTGTATATGACTGAAAGGTTACTATATTTGACATGAACCACATGTTAATGACATGGTTAGTGTGTTGTTTGAAGCAATGTTGTGATGGCTTTGATGCCGAATCATAACTCTTTATCATTGTTTAAGACAACTCAGGTAGTTAAATGCAAGGTGACCCAGACAGTTCGGATAACTGCACCTTTAGTAGCTATGAGGGAAGTGGTGACAGATCTTACCGTGTGCCCTCCTCCAACCTCTTCTCGTAAGACTGACAACAGTAGTCCTCTACTTCATTGAAAATAGGGTAGAGAACATGTAGAAAAGCAGCAGAGCGAAATGTATCTTGGAAGTCTCTGAGTCAACTATTGCCAATGGTAACCTCTGAGCCATCTGGGGCAGGTCGGTCACCTATTTGTTGAGGTGTTGATTGAAACTCCGGGACGCTGGTTCTTTCCCTTAATACAAAACCAATTTTAAGCCAAGTCATTTAAGACCTTTGGAAAACTGACTCTAAAATAGCATGTGATATCCTGGGGGAAAAAATAAACCATGATTTAGTAAACACAATGATCCACAGAGTAAGGATTGCTTTATATGGTGTTCTCACAGAAACTGAAGGCACTGATGATCAAGTGTGGCCAGGAAGAAAACTCCTTGATGCACCCATGTAAGTTCCAATTTGAAATGGATTTCTTGATGTCCCCAGCCCAGTGTTTGCTGCCCACCAGCTCTGGGAAGTGGGTGGAAGGATTCTCACCATGCCTGGAAAATAGGAAGTCCACTTACCAGAGGATGTGCTAGGAGAAATTATGAAATGTTTATGTCATTTCATTGTGACCACAGCGTTTAGGAGTGCTCCTTCAGATTCATTTTGCCATAGGCAGATGGCAAAAATCAAGAATGGTGCACAGAAAAAAAAAAAAAGAAAAAAGAAGGGTGCCCAGTGCTGGCCTAAGATTTGACTTCAATTTAATTGATGTTAATGATTGTAAGAAAGATAACGTGGTAAAACATGCCCCACAGGGATGAGAATTTGGTTCCATGGTGATCGGCAATTGAGTCCTAGTTTCTGCTCCAGTCTTGTTCTTGTGACATTAATCTTGCAATATCTTGACCCTGAATTTTATAAGAATGAGCATTTTGGACCTCACCATATTCTGTCAGGGTTTAAGGGTGATGGTGATGATGGGGATGGTGTCACCTCCTGTTGCGTGTTCACTGTGCCTTGTGTTCCCTGTGCTGGGCCCTTCATGTATGTTATCTCATTTAATCTTCACAATCAACCCGATGGAAAGCTCCTAATAACTTCACTTTGGGCTTAAAATAAAAAAAACCAAGCTCCGTACCAGGGCCTCTAGGGCCCAGGGTGACCTAGTTCCTATCTACCTCATGTCCAGTTTCTTTTTCACTCGCACAGGCCTTCGTATTGTTCTTGGAACATGCCACGCTCATTCTCTCCTTAGAGCTTTCCTGCCAGCTGTTCCCTCTTCCTGGACCACTCTTCTCCCAGACCTCGGCATGAATGAATCTGCTTGTCATTCAGGTACCATATTAAATCTCACCTCCCAGAGACAGTTTCCTTGATAACTTCATCTAAAGAATCTCCTCAATACCTTTATTCACATCACTGTTTTATTTTCTTCATTACACCTAGTATTCTGTTAATTAATTAAAACTACCCCCACCAATGTAATGTAAGAATTACATTCTCAGGAATGTAAACTTCCTGAGAATTTGTACCAGACATATTCTTTATTATTATGTTTCCAGCTCTTGGAACAGTGCTTGGCACATAGTAGGTATTCAATCAATGAACGAATCTCAATTTTTGGATCAGGAACCTGAAGCACAGAGAGGTTAAGATACCTATTTTAGGCCACACAGCTTCTAAAGGCTTATGTAGTATTTATTCAGGCTTAATTCCAAAGCCCATTTTCTTAACCACCATGCTATAAGACACTGATCAAGAGATCTCTTTACATCAAACTTGGACTCATGTACAGGTAATAGCTGAAAACTAAACTTAGAGGCCCAGGAGAGGGATTCTGGTTTGTTTTAATCTACTAAGTTAATGCATTAAATAGTGCCCATATTTCTCAAAGTGCTGAATTTCAAGACCGTGCAGTCAGGAGAGAGCAGAGCTGTAAAAAGATTTCACTTATGTTCTAATAGTTCGGATCAAGATAGATGCTTTTATTTTTTTCAGCAGTTTAACTATGTGAAGTGAACCTTAAAAAGATACAATTTAGGCTGTTCTAAATATTCTCAATTAAGAAGCTTAAGCATAAGCATGAGAAACAGCAGATAACAAATACTATCACTTTTTGTTATATTCTCCTGCAAGTGTTTATTTTAGAATATGTAATCTATTTTTGACAAAAAAGCACAAAGCACACAAGTCTGCAGGCTTGCATTACATTTTCGTCATGTTTTGAATTATGTGTAGAAATAAATATAATTTCTGGGTTCTTGTAAGCTCCCTCTCATAAGCTCTCCTTAAGTTATTCCACACCCTGCAAAGTTTAATTTAAGCATGCTAGTTTTATTTGATAGGTTAAAAGGAATTAAATTGGTTTTAAAATAAATTATGCTGCAAATAATAAAAATGCTAATAGGAAATGTATTCTATAACACTAACACTATATTTCTTGAGGCTACT